TGTTCTCTGTATTTATGGGTCTGTTTCTGCTTTTTGTTTGTTCATTTTGTTTTTTAGATTCCACATATAAGTGAAATCATACGGTATTTTTCTTTCTCTGATTTACTTAGCATATTACTCTATAGGTCCATCCATGTGGTTGTACATGGTAAGGTCTCATTCTCTTTATGGTTAATATTCCATTGGTTTGTATGTATATACACACACACACACACACACGCACACATACCACGTTTTTATCCATTCATCTGTCGATGGACACTGGGTTGCTTTCATATCTTGGCTATTGTAAGTAATGCCACAGTAAACATAGGGGTGCATATATCTTTTTGAAATAAAATAAGAACATATTTTTGAAAAGAGGGAGGTATTAAATCCACATTTTAAAGATGGAGAAAATGAGGTAAGATTAACAAGAACCTTCCCCCCTCCCCTTCCCTTTCCCTACACCCCACCAAAAACCCCACCCCAGGGCATCTCCTTTATAGATTACTGATTTCTAACATAGACCTAGGAAATTCGTATGTTAACTTGGGTGGCATTTGAAACAAGTTCTGATACTTTATTTTTTTCTATTTTTTATTTTTTTTCATTTTTCCTACTCTTTTCCTTTTCTCCCCTCTTTTTTTTAACTCTCCATACTGTACTGGGCAAGCTTAGTTAATGCCTAGTTTCATTGGCACTGTGATAAAGGCTTTATACTGAAATATGCTGCTTAGGGGCTTCCTAAATTGTTTCCTTTTAGTTACTTAAAATCTTTTTTTAACGGGGCACCTAGGTGGCTCAGTTGGTTAAGCATCTGACTTCATCTCAGGTCATGATCTCTGGGTCCTGGGTCCTGGACCAAACCGCCAGGCAGTTCCTTGCTCAGTGGGGAGTCTGCTTGTCCCTCTCCCGCTCCTTCTAACCCTCCCCCCAAAATAAATAAATAAAATCCTTTTTAACTTTGTTTTATCCTTTTATTATTTTTAAATCCTTCCATATAAATATTCCAAACCTGCATCTAGAAAGAGCCAAAAAAGAGAGGGTGAGAAGTTCACACAAATATTATAAGTAGTTAACTGTCAAACTGCAGTGGTAAAGGGAGATAGAGCAAGCTTTCCTATCCTTCCGAAGTAAATAGTATGCTTTAATCATGATGACTTACAGTCTGTTAGCAATAGCATAAGGAAAACCGTTAACCTAATTAACTATTTCTCAACCCTGGGTGGACATTAAAATCAACTGTGAAGCTTGAAGAAAAAAAAAATTTTTATTTCCCTTGCTTGACCCCTAGAGATTCTGTTTTAATAAATCTGGGATATTTCCTAGAGACCTGGGCTTTAAAAAGCTCTTCAGATGATACTCATGGACGATTGGAATGGAGAACACAAACCTTAAAAATTTAAAGCTGTTTAAGGAACGAGGGAAGACTTAGCTGAATTCAGGAATGGAATAAATAGTTTGCCATTTAGGTGTATTTGTAGCTCATTTAAAATATTTTAATAGAGGGGTGCCTGGGTGGCTCAGTCGTTAAGCATCTGCCTTCGGCTCAGGTCATGATCCCAGCGTCCTGGGATCGAGCCCCACATCGGGCTCCCTGCTCCATGGGGAGCCTGCTTCTCCCTCTCCCACTCCCCCTGCTTGTGTTTCCTCTCTCACTGTCTCTCTCTCTCTCAAATAAATAAAATCTTTTAAAAAAATAAATAAATAAAATATTTTAATAGAGGCACCTAACTGGCTTAGAGGAGCATGCGACTCTTGATCTCAGGGTAGTAAGTTTAAGCCCCATGTTAGGTATAGCGATTACTTAAAAATAAATAAGTAAACTTTGAAAAAAGTTAATAAAATACTCATACTAGATATTAAATTTGCATTTCTTAAGCGTGGTACTTATGTCTTGGTATGGGTATTTGTTTTTGTTTTTTTTTCAGAATGCATCGTTAGTTTTAAATTGGATTTCATTCAGAAATAAGGTTGGAATTTTTCTTTAGCAGCTGTCAATGTTCTGTACTTTACATGATATCTAGTAGAGGTTTTTAAAATTTTTTTCAACTTTAACTCCATAATTTAGGAAAAGAGAATAATTGTAATGAACCTCCACGTAGATTTTCTCTATAACCTTGCTCACTCCCTCCCCCCCAAATTATTTTGACACATCCCAGATAGTATATAATTTCATCCAGCTTCTCTTAAAAAATAAGGCTATGGGGGCACCTGGGTGGCTCAGTCATTAAGCGTCTGCCTTCGGCTCAGGTCATGATCCCAGGGTCCTGGGATCAAGCCCTGCATTGGGCTCCCTGCTCCGCGAGAAGCCTGCTTCTCCCTCTCCCACTCCCCCTGCTTGTGTTCCCTCTCTCGCTGTGTCTCTCTGTGTCAAATAAATAAATAAATAAAATAATAAGGTTACGTGTTTTTACATAATCACAGTACTGTTAGAGTATTTTTTAAATTTTAATGTTAAAACCCAATCAGTATCCAAATTTTACTGATTGCTTCATATTTTTTCACAGTTTGACCAAATCAGTCTCCAGTTGACACATTGCATTTGGTAGCTTTGTCTTTGTTTCTTTAGGTACAATTTTCTTTTATTTTTCTTTCCCCTTTTAAATTTATTTGTTAAAGAAGCTGGGTCACTACAAAACATTTTTAAAAAATTAAAGAAGACCTAAATAAATGGAAAGACATCGATGTTCATAGATTAGAAGAGAGTGTTGTTAGGTTGGCAGTGCTCCTCACATTTACCTACAGGTTAAATGCGATTCCTGTTGGGGCACCTGGGTGGCTCAGTCAGTTAAGCATCTCCCTTCAGCTCAGGTCATGATCCCAGTGTCCTGGGATGGAGCCCTGTACTGTGTCAGGCTCCCTGCTCAGCGGGGAGTCTGCTTCTCCTTCTCCTTTTGCCCCTCTCCCTGCTCGTTCTCTCTCTCAAGTAAATAAAATAAAATAAAAAGACTCCAGATACAAACCCATATATTTATGATCAATTGATTTTCAACAAAGATGCCAAGAAAATTCAATTAGCAAAGAATAGTCTTTTGAACAAATGGATCTGAGACTATTGAGTATCTACATGTAAACAAATGAAATTATACCCCTATATATAAAAATTAGCTCAGAATAGATCAAACACCTAAATATAAGAGCTAAAAGTGCAAATCTCTTAGAAGAAAACATAAGCATAAATTTTCATGATCTTGGATTAGGTAGCAATTTTTTAGATAAGATACAACAAGCACAAGCAACCAAGGAGAAAAATAAATTGGACTTCACCAAAATTAAAAATTTGTGCTTCTCAGGAGACCATCAAGGAAGTGAAAAGACAACCCACAGAATGGAAGGGAGTATTTGCAAATCATGTATCTGAAAGGGGACTTGGATCCAAAATACATAAAGAATTCTTACAACTCAACAATAAAAAGACAAATCGCATTAAAAATTGGCAGAACATTTAAATACAGTTATACATACAAATCGTCAGTAAGCACATGAGAAGATGTTCAACGTTATTGGTCATGAAGGAAATGCAGATCAAAGCTGCAATGAAATACCGTTTCATACACACCGGGATGGTATAATCAAAAAGACATTAACAAGTTTTGACAAGAGAGGGTGGAATCCTTATACACCTATAGAAATGTAAAATGGTACATCGTCTTTGGAATACAGTGTGACGGTACCTCAAAAAGTTAGATACAGAGTTACTGTATAACCCAGCATTTTCTACTCCCAGGTATATATAAACCCAAGAGAACTGAAAGCACATGTTCACCCAAAAACTGGCACACAAATGTTTATGGCACTATTATTCATAATAGCCAGTGAAAGCCAAATGTTTATCCACTAATGAATAGTTAAAAATATATTCCACTTACATATAACTGGAATATTATTTGGCCATGAAAAGGAATGAAGTATCTATACATGCTACAACATGAATGGACCTTGAAAGCATTATGTTAAGTGAAGGAAGCTAGACAAAAAAGGCCACCTACTGTCTGATTCCAATTATATGAAATGTCTGGAATAGGCAAATTCAGAGACGTCTCAGGCATAGTAGCTGTCAACCCCCTTCCCCAGGGTGGGGGGGAATGGGAGTGACTGCTAATGGTTACAGATACCCCTTTTTGATGTGACAAAAATGTTCTGGAATTACCTTTTATGGTTGCACAGTTTTGAATATATAAGAACCACTGAATTTTACACTTTGAAAGGGTAAATTTTTTGTTATATAAATTATATCTCAATTGAGGGGGGGAAACTGAGTCATTTGTCTTGTAAATGTTAAAATTAGCCCCCCAAAAAGCTTTAACTTGACAGAAAAAGACCTAACACAACTATAAAATAATTGGTAATTCAAATTCATACGATAGTGAAATCTCATACTAAGCAAGTTCTTGCTCTCCTTCAGAAGAGCACTGTGTTTTTGTTTGTAATTTATTGAAACAGTGAATCAGAAATCTAAAGTACTTACTGTCTTTATGGCCCTAATTACTATCAAAAATTATCCTTGTTTGTTTCTTGACTGTCTTCTACAATAATGTAAGCTCCATAACCCTGTCCTATTCACTCCTCTATTCCTAAATTGGTATCAGACACAACTTGCTCAAAAACAGGTTGGCATGAATGAAAGTGTATCTTTCATAATAGAACATCTTATTAAATCTTTTGTTTCAGACTGCAGCACTTAGAGCTGTGGGCAACATTGTTACTGGAACCGATGAGCAAACACAAGTAGTTTTGAACTGTGATGCTCTTTCACACTTCCCAGCACTTCTGACACATCCCAAAGAGAAAATTAATAAAGTAAGTATTTTTAAATACTACTTAATAAGTAACACACAAAATATTCAGCAGTTTTCATTTGTAAAATTAGGGATTCAGAAGTATCTATAATGATTATTAATATAAACCGTCATTTAGACATCAAGAGAAGATAGAATATTTTATTCTTTATAACATGGATTTCTGTGATTTTCTGTATATAAAACCAGTTGTAAACAATGCAAATTTGGCTCTCTTGGAAATGATGAAATAGAGATAATTGGGTGTTGAATGTTGTGTGATTGGAAAATTTTAATGTGTGAGTTAAGTAAACTTTATAGATAATTTGTGTGTGTGTGTGTGTGTGTGTGTCCTCGCTCATGGAGGCTATTGAAAGGGAGCACTGATTGGTGATGCTGATATTGGAGTGCATCTGAGGCTGTTGTAGAAATAGACGGGCTGTTGATTACAACATTGCCGATGATTATAACCCAAGAACAGCTCACCTAAGTAGCCTAGCACCCTACAATCTCTAACAGGTTCATTAAACATGGTCCTGTGATCTGATCCAAAGAGCCTACTTGACATTAGCTAATACTAATAGTTTCAGGAATAAAATTTGTTTACTAATTTTTTTTTAAATAGAGAATGTTTCCCTTTACATTGATTAATGTAATAAGTTTATTATGTCTGGTAAATGACAGTAATATACTACATAGGATATGAGGTTGATATTTTGTCTTATTTCATGCTAACTGGTCTCAGTGTGCATTTATTGTCTATGAAACTCGTGAAACACTTGACTACCATCATCTTGGCAAAAGCAGTAAGCACCACTAAAGTGTAAAGGGTAGCATAAAAAGATCCTTACGGTAGACCAATGAAACATCTTGGTTCCACTTTAGCTCTTGAGAGAAATGATGCAGTGAATGACTTACAAATAAGTATACTAAAACAATCCACTATTTAGATTTACTGACTCTGGCTAGCATCTTGATCACAGTAGAATAGAGAATAAAGCACATTATGTGAGGGGGATGCTGAATCTCATTTACAGTAGTTTTGGGATTTGTATCTATATTACAGCTCATGGATTCCTTAGTATTTGTTCAGACAAGCTTCTTTTGAATCTTACGTTTGGGAACATTGCTTTCAAGAATTTTTCAGAAGGGTTAGTTCATCATGACTTGGATTAGGGCCATTAACAATTTGTTCAAAGAAAATACAGAATGTGGGGGGATAGAGGAGTTGAGATTCCTGAAATTTTTATTATGGAACTCATTCCATAATAAAATCATTTGAACATTGTAACAAATGTAGTGAATTTAGTCCAGATGCAGATTTTAATTTTTAATGAGAAATATTGAAGGGGTCTTGTTCTGCAGGAAGCAGTGTGGTTCCTCTCTAACATCACCGCAGGAAATCAGCAGCAGGTTCAAGCAGTAATTGATGCCAATCTTGTACCAATGATAATACACCTTTTGGATAAGGTAAGAAAATCATCTTGTATATAATCTGAGTAAGAGGAAAAGGATTTAAATTTAACAGATTATGTGATTATATACCTCTGTTTAATTAGAACCTATACAGCGGCACGAAGACTACAGTAAAGTAGTAGTAATGTGAAAACTTTGAACCTAGCAGTTTTGTTTTGTTTTGTTTTGTTTAAAGATTTTATTTATTTATTTGACAGAGAGAGAGACAGCTAGAGAGGGAACACAAGCAGGGGGAGTGGGAGAGGGAGAAGCAGGCTTGCCGCCGAGCAGGGAGCCTGACGCGGGGCTCGATCCCAGGACCCTGGGATCATGACCTGAGCCGAAGGCAGACGCTTAACCGACTGAGCCACCCAGGCGCCCCGAACCTAGCAGTTTTTACATATAAAAAACACATTTCTTTTTAGAACCTCTGACCCTTCTTCTGTATCATTCCTTTACCAGTATTACCATTATCCTGGGATTTATTAAAAATGCATTATTACTATTTTAAAAAAAAACATTACTGATGATAATACTCAAAATCATAATTATTACTGCTGATTATAAATGCTTATATATTGTTCTCATCATTCCACATGTATTATTTCATATAACTCTGCAACTCCATGAGCTTAAGAATTATCCCCTTTTGACAGATGAAGAAACTATGGTATAGACAAATAAATTGTCCAAAATCAAACAGCAAGTAAGTGTGCTATTTAATCGTATGCTGTATCATCACTCATGCTTACATTAACGTTTGGGAAAGCGACAATTTAAAATGTCACAGTCACGGCATGGGTTTTTTCTAAACATTGATCTGTAATTAGATGATAACTCTATCTTCTTTCCCTCCATGTTTTCTACAAACTGGTAGTAAAGGCTTAGTTTCCTATAAACTGGTAGAGCCAGTTCAGTTTTTTAGGCAAGGCTTAATGCACTACTCTGTATTTCCTAATGATTTGCATCAGAAGACATATACTGTTTGTCCCATATCTTCAGATGTCCTACATCTGTCCTCTTCAGATTGATGAGTGAGCTCAGGTGTGATGAGCCTACTCCAATTGATTGTTATAAACCTAGCCATCAGTCTTTCACTAGTGGTTTTCAGGTAGTCATTAATGATCATTGTGTGGATCCCTTATTTTACGAGGAACTGCAAAATGCTGACTTTCTAATTCTGTCGTTGTTTATGTATTAACTTTGATTTTTCAATAAAAAGCTTTTTTCATGGCGCCTGGATGGCTCAGTCGGTTAAGCATCTGCCTTCGGCTCAGGTCATGATCCCAGGGTCCTGGAATCGAGCCCCATGTCAGGATCCTGCTCGGCGGGAGCCTGCTTCTCCCTCTCCTCCCTGCTTATGCTCTCTCTCCCTATCTCTGTCCACTATCTCTCTCTCTAAATAAATAAAATCTTTAAAAAAGAAAAAAACCTTTTTCCTTTATCAGCTATTGGTTTACTCTGAAATATGTTTCATGTAAGAAAGGCAAGATGAATTCTCATTATCACTTAGTTTTTGTTTTGTTGTTTTGGGGGAGGTGTGTGTGTGTGTGTGTTTAAGTAGGCTCCGTTCAGGGCTTGAACTCATGACCCTGAGATCAAGACCGGAGCTGAGATGAAAAATCATATGCCTAACTGACTGAGCCACCCAGGCATCCCATTATTCACTTAGTTTTTAGAATAACATGGTTCCCTAACAACCTCAAAAGTATACTAGGGTGGAGTTTTTAGTGTCATTAGGAAATTATGAATTTTTATATATATATTGTAAGTTTTAGTCCATTGTAGTTATTTTTTCTAGCAGATTGTCCCTAACCAGTGGGAATCTCTTAAATTTAGCACCTGTGTCTTTTTTACATCACCCCAGTAGTTTTTGAGATGAGAGCTTCCTACCTTTTGAATATGACACAGTTCTCAAGCTTATTTTATGTATTTTCTGACCTAGACTTTCCAGGGTGTCCTTTTAGGTAGCAGATAGTATATAAGTATCATAGTTCAGGTCCTAAGGATGATAATTGCTACAAGGTTGTCATTGTTTCTAGTGAACAAAATGGGTGATAATGTGTTTGGTTTTGTTTTTAGAAAATAGAAAATAGGGATGCCTGACTGGCTCAGTCAGTAGGGCATGCGACTCTTGATCCTCAGGATCATGAGTTCAAGCCCCACTTCGGGCATGGAGCCTACTTAAAAAAAAAGTAGAAAATATATAGTAATTTTGTGAACATGAGAACTAAAAAGATTACAGTATATATTGAGATATGTAAAATTTATCAAAATAACAAGATCATATTGCCACTAACAACCTGACTACTCCACTTTTAAGATTTCCTTGAGGGGTATTGTTTTTAGGATGTATTCCATCAGCAATGTACTTAAAAATGATCTGTCACTTGAAATAATTTTTGTATGTGTGACTAGGTCACCAACTTGATATATATAGTTATGTTACTTATTTCTGTTTTTTATTTGGGGAAATTAGTATTTTTGTTTGTTTAGGTTTTTGGTTTTGTGTTTTTTTTTAAGATTTTTATTTATTTGCCAGAGAGAGACACAGCGAGAGAGGGAACACAAGCAGGGGAAGTGGGAGAGGGAGAAGCAGGCTTCCCACTGAGCAGGGAGCCCAGTGCGGGGCTTGATCTCAGGACCCCGGGATCATGACCCGAGCCGAAGGCAGACACTTAACGACTAAGCCACCCAGGCGCCCCTGTTTAGGGTTTTTTGGCATATGTGTAAATTTTGCTGTATAATGTCATCCCTGCTCTGTAAGCATTGTACCATTTTACAATCCTACCAGCCTCACTGATATTTACATTTTATCAGTCTGGTATATAAAAAGATATCCCACTACAATATTAATTTTTATTCCTCATATTTATATAGGTTTTTTCCTTAATTGTAAGCACTTTCCCAGGTTGCTAGTCTTCTTTATATTTAACAGCAGGTTATTACTCCATTCAGCAGATTTATTGTAATTAGTCATTTATTCCACTGTTGTTGAGAATTCTGGTTGCTTTTACTTTTTGACTAGTATGTGCTACTAAGATGATATCTAGAAAGATACATAATATTTGTTTTAAATTATTTTCTTGGTAAGTTCTCAGAGATTCTCACCTTTGAGAACTTCATATAATTATTAAATGTATTACTAAGTATGTTACTAAGTCATATATATGACTTTTTAAATGATTTTTAAGTATATTTTTTTCAATTTATATTTGAAAGGTAATGTAGGAGGGTGCTATTTTTATATCATAGTCTCATTAGTGGTGGACATTATCATTTTTAAAACCTTGTTTTGTGTTTAAAAGGATACTGGACATTTCTTTGATTAAAGTGAAATGTACGTTTTCCTTTTTTTTTTTTTTTTTGACTGCTTTTATTTTATCACTGACTTCATTTAATCTGATTTCATTGAACAGTAATACCAAGTCAGTTTGTTTCCAGGAGAGTTTGCAAAAGGGAGTCTACATTTGTTTAGGGTAAATTGTTATTTTGTTTAGGGTAAATTGAATTCAAAATATTTTCTTAAGTAAAAATTATGTATGCACATAGAAAGGCTAGAAAAAACCTGGGGAAATAAGCAGTTGAAAATCATTTCAGATAACACTTTTCCCCAATTTAAACTATGTTGCAATTTGTATCCTTTGCTTTTACAGGGGGATTTTGGCACTCAGAAAGAAGCTGCTTGGGCCATAAGTAACTTAACAATTAGTGGGAGGAAAGATCAAGTAAGTTCAGCTCTTATTTATTTCTCAAACCTGGTAAAATAATAGTACAGATAATTCTAAGATTTAGATTTCAGTTAAATCATAACTTAAAATAATAGCAAGATAACAGGCATTCTGTGATTTTTTTCTTTCCCCCCCATATAAAAGTGTCACCTTGACTTCCTTTAGTTATATTTCATAGATGAGAAGTGTTATTGGCCTACAAAAATTTTCTAATCCATGGTAAGATCAAAACATACGTAGTCAGGGGTTTATTTATTTATTTTTTTAACAGTATTAAGAAAAAACAGGACTTTTTAGCATAATAGGGCAGAATGAAACGTCACAGATTCTCGTAACAAATGAACACCAACAACAAAAAGAACACAA